TCTTATGCTCAAAGGAAGTTCGACAGACCCTCCACCCACCACACACCCTGAGCCACACAGGAACTGCAGGGCAGGTGTAGAAATAACTGGGCAGGCTCCTGAGGACTGTGGGGTCAGCTGATGACACCCACAGTATTGTTTCAATCTAGACAGGATCCCTCCAAAAAGACCAGCCCCAAGCAAGGCTCTCCAGGCTTGGTAGGGAGGAACTGCCAGTTGGCAAAGGCCGTGCTGGAGCTGCTGCGGGGGACACTGGAGGGGCCAGGATGGGTCCAAGGGGGACAGTTTGGCTGAGGAACAGCTCCAGGACATAAGATGTCTGTGTCTCCTGCAAACCAGCCTGCATCCCACCCCAGAAGGATGCGGGATGCTGAGCATCCTCCGTGAGGGAGGCAGGCAGAGCAACGCTTGGCCTCCTCCAGAAATGACAGAGCACTTTATTCTGATGAGGGAAATGAGGGAGGAAAGAAAAAGTACCACATCGCCTTAAAATATGGTATTTTGAGAAGCCTTGGCCAAATCCTCCTGCTCCTTTTGCCTGTTTCAGCTCCGCATGATGCCATGGAGCCAGTCCCAATCTACACCACGCAGCAGGGAGGACATGGAGCCTCCCTGCATTTAATGATGCTGCATTTAATGATGCTGAATTTAATTAAGTTTGATGAAAACCAAAGTTCTTTTACCTTCTTAAAAAACACCACCAGCCTAAGCAGCTATTTCTCAACTTCAGCTCTCTCCTCAAAGTGCCATGTCCATCCCTCCTTTCTGACAAAGCAGGAACAGAGGAAAACAAGTGACGCTGAAACAGCAACGGGGACAGGCACCGACCAGCGCTGGTCACGCCTGAGTGGGACACACGAGGGGACACCTGCTAAGCGTTTGCATATTGTAAAAGCAATAATTAGGATCCAAACGCTGCGAATCCAACCAGTCTATCCCAGCCCAGCAGTCTCGGAACACCTGCCTGGGCTCCACATATTGAGTCAACTGCTAATTTGCGTTTCCCAGTGTGGGTGTCTCTCCATGGGTCTGCAGCGGCTTCATTCAAGATTTATCTGCTCTCGCCGATGGGCTTGTGATGCTCACGTGGTGCAGCTCCCACGCAGGCGCTGCCGGGGCTGACACGGATGCACAGAGCCGGCACTCACGTCGGGCAGCTTCGGGATCTGCCCCGCGCCCAGCCGGGAGAGCCACTGGGGCTCTGCACTTGATTCCTCCCTCCCTGCACACACTAAACCCCTGTTAGCAGGGGAAAGTTCAAGGCTGAGGGGCCGACAGGCACAGTTCCCGATGGGCACAGAGCTCTGCTCAGTGCTAAGAGCATCTTCTGCACCGCAGAAGAACCGGCCCCTCCAATAGATCGAGCTCGATCCGGGCACAGGGGGATGAAGCCTCTGTCCCTTTTTCAAGCCTGGTACAGTGAGTGCACAGAAAACAGTAGGCAGCGAGGCCCTGCAGATCACACAGGACCCGCTGCATGTATCAGGTACAGGGCTCAGCCCCCAGTGCTCCCCTGGCTGCAGTGACCATCCCCAGCTGGGGGTTCTCAGGCCCTGCTGCTGGGCAGTCCTTCCCCTGTGCCAGCACGTGAGCTCTGTGCAGCTCAGCTGGGCAAGTTTTCCCTTCCCAGCATTGCACCGGTTAACAGCCTGCGAGGCACCAGTTAACAGCCTGCCAGGCACCAGTTAACAGCCTGCGAGGCACCAGCACGCTCCTCCCGCACAGTCCAGGAGGGTGACGAGCAGCCCCGTCACGTCCCCCCAGCACCATCCCAGCCCCCTGTGTTCCCCCAGAGCGCAGGCTGGGACCCTCCCTGCCCTGCCACCGACTGTGTGCTGCAGCCCCCCGCAGCCCTACTGCCACCCACACCCACACCCAGGGGCTGACAGAGCCCGTGTCCAGTGTGAGGCCTTGGCTGTGCCGCAGGGATGGCACCGCAGGGATGGCACCGCAGGGATGGTACCGCAGGGATGGCACCGCAGGGCTCCCGCTCCTGCTGCCACCACAGCAGCTGCCAGAGCACCAACACGGGGTAGGATGTGGAGCTGGGAGCACTGAGCCCATGGTGAGCCCATGCCCTGCTGCTCTCAGCCCCACACCTGGGTTCAGGGTGACAGGCTGTGATCCAGCTCCAAGCTCTGCCATGGCACTGCCAAGCCCTTTCTGAGTGAGCTGTGCCCAGGGGAGTGGGGCCTCTCTGGCTCCTTCCAAAGCAGTGATTGATCACACTGAGGGAAACATAAAACATTGGCTGGAAAAAAAAATACAGCTAGCAAACCCAAGAATTTTGGAAATTACTCATGCCTCCAGCAATTCCATCTTTCACAGCCCTGGCTTCTGCCTCCTTGGCTCCCTCAGCCCAAGAGGGGAGACAGATTATCTCAAATTATTTATTACAGAATTAGAGCATGATCCAAACCCTCCTTGAATCAATAAGAAAGCTCCAACTGACTTCACCGGGTTTAGGACCAAGCACCAGGAAGAGACCGGGTATTTCTGCATCCATGGCCATGACTCACCGAGAACTTTCCAACGTGGAGGAGCAGTTTGGCGCCGTGGCTCGTCTGCCCCCACCACTGAAGGGGTCACTCCTGGGCTGGGGGAGCCTGATGCCCCTGGAGCCCCACAGAACAGTGGGGCGGGTCCCCTCAAGCACACAGCACACCCACTGCTGCCACTAATTTTAAAAGTTAGGGCCCAGAGTGATGCCATCAGCCATTTTTTTGCTGCGCAGGTACCAGCACCTGGCTCTGTTCAAGCTCATCTTTGAGCACAGCCCGTGGGTGCTCAGAAACACCTCAACCTGCAGCTTTGGGGCAAAACTGCCCCAAAGTGTGGCCTGTGCTGCAGGAGGGCAGCAGCTGCCAAGGCCTTGCCAGCCGAGCACTGCTGT